TCATTTGAGAATCACTACACGGCTATAGGGTTTCTACCTCTGGGTCTTTGTTAACGGGTTGCCTCCCCCTAAAATGCCTTCCCCAGCCATTTCCCCACACTCGATCTTACCTATTCCTTAAGTCACAGCTCAAATGCCACCGACTTAGCAAAGCCAGCCCTGCTTTTCCCCATGTGTAAATCATCTCGGATGTCTCAGATTTCTTTAGTAGCACTTCATCTGCCTTTGCTTAAGCTTTGTAGCCTTCTTTCCCGCTTTTATAATCACCTGTGCATATCTGATTCCTTTGACTAAGTTTTTAAGATCAGAGACAATGTCTTATCTATCTCTGTGTAACCCGAGCTAATCCAAGTATTCCACTGGGCTTGGTCTCTGCCTAGTGTCTCACCGAGAGAGCATCTCTCGAAGAACATGAGGGCATTCAACATGAAGGAAAGTGTAGCAGCACTTCCCAAAACACTTCCTTCACTCCCCAGATTGTTTTAAATGATCAGAATCTCCACAACGAAGCTCTTTCTGTAGATCAGTATTGAGGTTTTTTATTTCCTTTTCTCAACTTGCCTTCTCTCTCTTAGTTCTTAGGTAGATCAACTTAGTCTCTTCAGCTAAGACCTCTCTCCTATTCTCCCTATTTCTTGCAGAATGGGATTTTCTTTAGTAAATGGGGAAACTGGAAGACATTCACATGCTAATATATTTTGCCCCCTCATACATATATCTACTACAGATTGCCTTGCCCTAGTAAATTAAAAAAAAATGCTCACGAGTGAATGAATGATCAGGGTAATCAGCCCACGTGCATAATTAAGACAAAGCTCTCTACATCTCTCCATCCCAGTACTTCTTCCTAGACCAAGCCATTCCAATTGGTTGCCTGGATCTGCTACAGCCTTGTAAGTAGTATTTGTGCCTCTTGTCATGTGCTCTTAGAGTCCATCCTCTACACCGAAGGCAAAGTGATCTTTCAAAAATGTATGTAATATCACTTCATTCCCCTGCTTGAAACCCTCCAATGGTTTCTTGTCACATTATAACAAAATGCAAGCTCCTTACCCCAAAAAAGCCCTCCATGATCTGGCCCCTGCCCACCTCTGAAATCACATCTCATGTCCCTTCCTCCCTGCCCGTCATGCTCCAGCCACACTGGGATTCCTCCTAAGGCCTTTGCATCAGCTGTGTCTTTTGTTTGGAGGGCTCTCGTTCTCTGTTTTGGAGTGATCTTTGTATGACCGACTTCTTCTTGTCCTTCATACTTCACCATAAATGTCACTTCCACAGATAGGCCTTCCATGGCCTCCTGGTCCTGACTACCTTCCCCACACTATCTCATTGCCTTTCCTTATTTTCCATTTAGCCCCTAATGCTGCATAATAAACTACCCCCAAACAATTTGGAATTATTTTATCTCATGATTCTTATGTGTTAGGAAATCATACAAGGCACAGCTTGTCTCTGCCCTATGGGGTCTGGGGCTTCCGCTGAGATGACTGTAAAGGCTGGGAGCCTAGGACAACTGGAAGCTGGCTGAGCATCTCTCCCCCTCTCTCTCCTCCCTCTCTCTGTCTCTCAATCTCTCTCTGTCTCTCTCGTTCTCTCTCTCTCTCTCTTCTTTTACATGGGGTATAGCTAGCTTGGGCTTTTTTCCAACATGGTGACCTCATGATGGACTTCTTACATGGTAGTTCAGGGTTCCAAGAGACCAAGGCAGAAGCTGCCAGCCCTCTTGAAAGGACTTGGAAATATAGGGTCCCTTCTGCCATAATCTATTGATCAAAGCAGACTCAGGTCAACTAAGATTCAAGAGGAGGGAACAGAGGCGTCCTCTCTTGGGGGAGAAATGTCAAAGAATTCAGGGCCATCTTTAATGTGCCAGAACTACATTTTGGCAAAAAGACATTTTCTTATTAATTTCCTTGTTTACATGTGTAACTTGCTTATTGAGCAAACAGTGAGAGTACAAACAAACCACTTTTTCCCCCTTCACTGTTTCTTCTAGATGAACTTTTATGTTGATTCTCCTTTTCTTGCATCTTAATAGCATTTTGGGCAGATCTTCTAATGTCCCCGTCACGTTAATTTATTAAAGGTCCAGCCCCATCTAGGCTGGTCCATCCAATTTAAATCTAACACCTCTTTCTCCCCCAGGCAGGGCCTGGATTTGGCTGAAGGGAGCGGGGAGGGTCGTCCACCCTTGTTCTTCTCCCCCCTTCCCTCTCCGCAGTCCCTTTTTTTTTTCTTTTACATGGGGTCAGGAAGGAGAAATTGGGGGAAAGTTCATTTTAGCTGTGGCCATTTCTTCTCCAGCCACGACTGTGCCTGGTATGACAGGCATCCAGGTGCCAGATCTCTTGTGGGAGTACCACAGGGCCACTCCACAGCACTGTTCCCTGATGTGTTCCTTTTCCAGCTCTGTATCTAATACCCTATTCAGCAATCGACCCAACCCTATACCCACAGCCTGTAACCTGTGGGGTCTCCTCATCTGCAGGCCTCCCCCTTGGGAGAACATGGGCAAGGCTCCCCATGGCCATTCACCTTCTACCGTGTCCCCCTAAACTGTGGGAAACTTGCTGGATGCCCCAAGGCATCTTTGTCCTCAGTTACTCTTCAGGTCTTCATTCCCCCCAGTTCCCAATTCAGGTAGCACATGGGCTAATCTAAATGGCAAATCCAGCTCTAGGGAGAAGAGGGGAAGGAAGCAACCACTCGGGTCTCCAGTGATCTCACCTCCCTCTCCCTCCCTGCCCCCTTCTTGGTCTTCTGCTTATAGAGACTGAGGAAGAGGGTACTAGGTGATATTTGGGCCTAGCAGAATTACTTCAGTCATCTCTTAATAAATCCCTTAGGCAGATGTGTCCAGCTCCAAATTGTTTCTTCTTTGTTTTAGAGTGTGTGGTACTCAAGACCCCTTTTTAGCTCTAGGTCCAATCACCAATTTGAGCAACAATAATGTCTACCCAATATCCGACAACAGATGATTATGGTCTGGCTCTCCACTCAAATACAAGGTCTGAGAGAGCAAGTCCTTGTGTGTTTTAGTCCCCACTGGATCTTGCTGCCAGGAAGAGGAGGAAGCCAGACCCCTCCATCCCCTGCAGATGAAAAGGGCCCTGTAGGACCCAACTGGTATGAAAGGATTGCCGATATGGTCAAATGGACCAGTCAGTTCATTTCCTCATTTCCTAC